AAAGAGAACCCAGCCCAAAATTAGTTCCATTTACCTTGCCCTAAATTTGCTGTTAGATTCCACGTGTGGGTTTGTATAAGGGCTATATTGATGGGATTTATTAGGGAGTGGGGGGCACATTTTGATATTCACATTCTTGTATAAATAATAAAATGCTTTAAATGCTCCAAAGCATATTTGTTTTTAGACAATATTTCTAACTCCGACTTATTTAATGTCAGGAAATAAAGCTATGAAATTTGTACAGCGCAGAGCAGAATTTAATAAACAATTGCCCATAAGATATATCAGTTTTTGTGAAATTTGGCTTATGTTGTTGCAGAGGCAAACAACCTATAAAGCTGGGGGCACATTTGAACTTTTGTGAACATACCCAGAAAAAGACTGCAATGGAAAGCTCTCCTCTTCAAAAAAAAAAGAAAAAACGGCTGCCCTCTGATATGGCCAATCACAAAACACCCACTTGCCAAAGGTGAACGTGCCCCCAGCGTGCCCTAGCTGATGCCAGTGAGCCCCAACGTACTATTGCAAAAATGTTATGAGAAGCTTGTATTTTGCTTTACAGTGTGGCAGATTAACAGACAGACAGATGAGAGATGGATAGATACATGATGAATACATTTTAAAAGTCAGATGGGATCAGGAAACTATGTTGCCTACTAACTAGATACTGCATTGTTGGATGTAATCTGTCAGACCCTATAGGCTCCCAATAGAGGCCACATTCAATAGTGGATAAGGTGTGACGTGCCCGCAGTCAAGTCAGGCATGTTCTGTATTTTTGATGCGCCAAGCCCTAAAAGTTTGCCATCACTACCCTATACATTCCTGCATACATAACATTCATACAAAGATACATATTGCTTTACTTTAAACTTCAGAACATTTAGGTTAACATAATTGCCATTTAATGAATGTGGTAGCATATGTTTTGGCTCCTGTCACTATCCTTTCACCACATAGGAGAACTTGCAAGTAAAGTTCTTTGGCCCTATCAAACAAATTAATGAGAAAGTAGGGCAGAAAATTCTCAGCGATCTAGGATAAGAACATTTCTGCTCTGTATACTATCTGGCTGTAATTTTTCTGACTAGAGTTTGATGGAATCTGCCTTGGAAGGATATATGAGCAGGCCATGGTGAACACTTTTCTTCATTTACAGATACTGAGAGTGGTGATGGTTGCATTTTGCTGATTATTAGTTCTTCCCAAGTTACAGCAATTGGATATGTAAGTCCAGTTTTTCTGAAAACTAATAACCTCAAGAGTTTTTCAAACACTACGTTTTGCCTTGTAAAAGCCTGTTACAGCCATAATCTTGGCACAAACTAAAAATTTACTGTCCAACGCCTTCCAAAATAATAGAAAAGTAACCTATAGAATTAATAGGAACATCTACAAATGCAGAACCATCTATACGTTTTTTAAGAGTTTGTGTATTTTTGTGGGATCTGAAGCCCTAGTACCAATTCCATTGGCAAGAGAAAAACAATAAGAATTTAAAAGCATACTGCCAAAGGAATGTTTAAACTGATACTACTCCAGCTTCATATTTATGACTGCATTTGACTGTTGCAGGATTCAAAACTAGATCCACTTTGATAATACATACATAAATATATATATCCATTGTGCTATTTCCTTTCACAGTAAGTTGCACAACTGTTTGCAGAACACAGATACCAGTTAAAAGAAAACAAATTAAGCGCATAACAAAATAAAATAAAGGTAATGCTAGTCTATACCATGATAGTATTCCCTACCTCTCTATCCTTGCAAATTATTTGATTCCATTGCCTCCATAGATTGTTTCATATATTATCCATTTGCTCTTCTGGTTTGTTTTACATTTTGATCTCCATTCTCTCTATGATCAAACCACCCCAATTTAGGGTTTCCACACAATGGAATCAGACATGGCTTTATTTAAGAAAGCCCTTTGCTTTCTTAAATGTATTACATTATTTATCCTACTCAATGATCATGTGAACGGACTGAAAGTGTCAGTTATTGTTACTTGTAAGCAAACCTCCTCTGCTTAAAACTACTTTCCCACCTTAATAAAATCTAAATGTTCAGTATTTTTCTACATAAGAACTTTTTATAAAAGAATGTCCAAATTTTTAACCAATTATCTTACAGAATTAAACTCTGTATATTGTTTTTCTATAATCAATGAAAGAATAGAATTTCTAATGAATAATTATTAACATTTTTATTGTAACAAAAGATAGAAAAGACATTGTATTTCTCCCTCTATTTCAGTACATGCATTACGGTTCAGGATGAAAAGAAATTTGAGAAATTCTATGACAAGGAAAGGTCTGCTAAAATTAGGCTAAGCACAGGATTTCTGTACCAAATGATTCAGACGTGTTCATCCTACATGACGTGGCCATAATCTCTCCCAAAGGAATAAGGATTTTCTAATATTTGTATTGCCATGCTTGATACAAGAGTGAGATCCATGATAAATTGATAATGTTTAACTTGTGTTCTCCATATTTTCCATGGAGTTCAAAAATAAGGAGCAAGCAAACAATCCAAAATCCCACCTATTGACAGAAATTTAAGGGCTTTTACATGTTGTTCTTTAAAAGTCTTTTTTTCAATCTTCTAACCAAGAACATTGGAGAAGTATACATTATTAGAGCTTCTAGCTAAAAAGAATGTTAGTGATAAAGATAAACGATAAAGATGTAGCTCTACAAATGATTACTGAAAATGTCAAGATAGTACTACTAAACATATAAACTCAGTGATAAACTAGTGGTTAAGGTGTCCGGCTAGAAAGCAGGAGGCTGTGAGTTGAAATCCACTCTTAGCCATGAAAACCACCTGGGTGATTTTGGCCAGTTATTCTCTCTCTCAGCCCAACCCACCTCACAGGATTGTTGTTATGGGGAAAATAGGAGGAGGAAAGTGTGATGGATATTTTTGCTACTTTGAATTATTTTTAAAAATAATAAAGATGGGATACAAATAAGTAAATATATAAATTACAGGCTATGATGGATGGCTAATGATTCTGTGACACAGAGCCCAGGGGTCAGGAGATGAGGCTGAGCCTATACATTGGTTATGTTGATTTGTGATTGAGGAGACTGGTTTTGTTCCAGCTACTCTTTCTACATGTGTGTGTCTGTTTTTCTGTATTCATACTTTTATATTTTCTTTAACATAATTATAAATTTGAGATGGGCAGCTCTAAAAATGGTAATTAATTAATTATCCCAGGATACACATATAATTGAACTTATATAGGTAAAATAAATTTCAATAATAACTTTGACTAGCAAGCAGAAAAATAAAGAAGAATGCAAGATTAACTAGTCACTTGCCAGTGTTTATCCAAGCAATATTTCCTTTTTGATTTAATTTTTCTTGTTCTTGCTCTTTTAAAAAAAAAAAAACCTCCAAGCTTAAATTTGATATCTCAGTTTTTACCTTCTACATCAGCACACATTTTGTTTTCTTTCCTCCCATACAAGAGCTCTCTGTTTCTTAAAAAAAAAAGCCTTTAGTCTTGGAAAAGGAGAGGTTGAGGGGAATCTCATTCTGCTTAGTGAGCAGGAACATGACATCCCTGGCAAGATCTTGCTTTGAGATAAAAGATATATGCATGGGGGGGGGGGTGTTCAGCCACAACCAAAGGCTACATACTGCTGCTTCTGACATCCCTCCTAGAGAATCTACCACTGATATTATAAATTAAAAGTGAGATTGGCAAGGAGTCGGGAATGGTTCACAACAACACTGCTATATTTACTATTTAACATTTCTAGACTGGTCATCTTATCTAAGTGATTCTATATAGTCTTGTTACTATTCTTTTTCCACTGCATTTATAACAATCCTGGGCTGTTGTTTAAAGTTGTTATCCAAAGGCATTACAGTGAAATCTTGATTTTGCCACAACAAATATTGCATACAACACATCAGATTTCTCCTGAAATCTATCTCATTAGCACAATGGCAACTGAAGCAGGTTGAAGAGCCCGGCTAAAGAAAAGGGGTTGGGTCTGTGCCCATGTCATAGGTTTTTATAGACAGATGACTTAGCACAAGACCTATAAGCACATAGGCAGGTAGAGAGAAATGTTGGAAGGTACTTGTAGACTGGCACATGTATGTCCTAGATATAGGATATAAAAGAAAGCAGCAAAGGGGTTTTTTAAAATTGCAGATGCTGCTGGAGAGATATCACTTGGAAAACGTGGAATGAAGTGGAGCTTACAAGTCCAGAGATTCTGGAAGGCAGGAAGCAAACCAGGATGAAAATCCTGGTGTGTTATGAACACATGGAAAGACCAGAAGAGACTGTGTCATATTTAAGAGATTTCAGATACTGGACAGTAGAAATACATGATTAAAAGCTTTGTTTGGCAGTGTTTAGAATAAACTCCCTCATTTCTTTAAGTGCTGTCCCTGTGACTGTATCAGCTCCTATCCTGACCACCATTTGACAACTTCATTAGAAAGTAATCTAAATGATATTATTCACACCCTCTATATGACACAAATTACATCATCTGCAGCAATTAGTACCTTTCATGACATTAGAACTGACAAAATGATGTAATTTGTTTCATGACATCATTCAAATGACAGAAATTTTCATGATGCATACTTTTCAATCTAATGGATATCCCTCAATAGGATTGTTTCTGCCCAACTAGTTTATTAAATGAAATTTCAGAGGATGTGATTACATATAAATGTACATATAGATACACAAGTATACATGTCTTTGGTTGAATTTCCAACAATACTTATTAAATAAAACATATCCCAAATGGTAAAAGTGTATCTGCTTAAGATGACCTTCCTCACTCTAAAACAATTGAATGCAGGCATCTGGAATTTGTTCTCCTTTAAGTAATTATACTGGAGATCCTAAATCAAACAGGGAACTAGATGTGAATAATTTAATCTTTCTATGTTTATGCTGCAAACAGAAAAGAAGAATCTGCTGGCAATTTTAAACACTATAATTTTATTATATCATAAACTGTAGAACAGAATCCAGTTCGTCAGATACATAGTGTTATCCTCTACACATAGTACAGAAGAAAACATGTGTAAGCTAGTGGAAATTAGATTTAAACAGGTCAGAAGGAAGTTGAACCTGAAGGAATACCAAATTATAAGGACCATTCATAACTGTAGACACTGATAAAAGCATAAACGTTTCAACTAAGCAAATTAATTTCCTCTTTTGTTGATATAAGTCTAACAAATAAACCCCGTTTCTTTTTGCACCGGTGCAACTTGTCTAAAGCAAGATGACATTCATTTGGGCTCATTTATTTGCCTAATAATGACAAATATTACATGTAAAAAAAAGAAAAAAAGAAAAAGCCAATCAGGACGCAGCAGGGTGAGCGACAGGTAAAAATCGAATCCCGACTTCGCGCCCGCTAACTATATTTCCCAGAATGCCAAGCGAGACGAGCCGGCCAACCTACCCAACTCCCGGAGGTTCCTTGCCCCCCGCCCGCCGCGCGATGTCATTGGGTCGTAACTCTGAGTGATCCCTCGGTCGGCCTAGCTCGCGCCCAATCCAGTCCAGCCTGGGGCTCTAGGCGATGGCCGCGGCTGGGATCCTCCTGGCCGCCGCTCTGGGGGGAGGGTTGCTTTTCATCGCGCGGTGCTTCTCTTCGGTGGCCAGAAAAGTTGCGCTGAGGATGCCGGTTGGCCGCCCGATGGAGGGCAAGACTGCCATCATCACCGGAGCCAACAGCGGCTTGGGGCGGGCCACGGCGGCCGAGCTCCTACGGCAAGGCGCGAGGGTCATCATGGCCTGCCGGGACTGCGGCCGCGCGGAGGAGGCTGCCCGCGAGCTCCGCGCCGAAGTGGGCCTCTGCTCGCGCGGCGGCGGCGAGTGCCGCGGGGAGTTGGTGGTGCACGAGCTCGACTTGGCTTCGCTCCGCTCCGTGCGCAGCTTCTGCCAGCAGGTGCTGAAGGTACGGTTGGGTGAGAGCAGAGGGGGGGAGGATTTTAACCCCTTGAGTACTCTCCCTGCTCCAGGAAATACACATTTAAGCCCCGGGGGAGTGCAAAAATTGGTTTCCTCTGACACAAAGCGGGGCCTGGAATCCTTCGTGTATGAGACGAACAGGATCCTGCTGCAACATCTCGTGAGCCTGGAAGGTGAAGAACACCCTCGCCCGTTTCATTCTGGCGCGTGGCCGAGGCCTCAACATTTCTTCTGCAGCAGGTTATACTAGTCAAGGGTCTGCATTGCAGCCCTTGGAACCAAACATAGGTCTTCTCGTTCGTTATGGCTTTTACATGGGATTCACCTGAAACCTGAATAGATTATGCCTGTAAATAACCTAGTGCACCCTAAAATAGGTCAGGCCATTTTAGGCTAATCCGTTGACAGAAAAATATGGGTTCACGTGATTTTTTGCAGGGCTTCGTGGAGTTTCCACACAGCATGCATGCTAACAATTGTCTCTGATTATTTTTGGTCCTGCCATATGTAATATAGGAATCTGGAAAATGGTTCTTCATCATTCACATTTTTACATAGGTTCAGTTATGACCATAACAAAGTCATAGACAATATCAGCTCTGTGCATTGTCTTGTCACAGATCAGAAGATTTGGGAGGCATTTGCAGCTTGTATCCTTGAATCTCATTGTGGTTTATAATTTTTTCATCTAATCCCCATAAAATCATGAGCAGGTTCAGCACATAAGCAGCAATCATTGTCATAAATATCATATGCAGGTTCTAGCAGCATGGCACAAATATATACGGGAGGCATAAATCCACATGATTTTCTTACATGGAATCTTTTAGTCCCCATCCCATTAAATATCTCAAGCTGCGAGCCAATATTGATCTCACACTGTTGACACTGCTGTGACATAAAAACATGTTAACCACATGAAACCACAAGCAGATAACAACACATCTGCCTACATATATGGAACCCTGACAGTCATGATATGACCATTTTTGGCAGGATGGATCATCAACAATCCATTTGATCTACATGACCTCACTGAGGTAACTCAGTAGTGCAAACCTGTGTATACGAAATATAGAACCTAGGTTTTTTGCCTTATTTTATATGAGCTGAACTTAAAGCTGACAAATCAAGATTACATCCATCTGTATACAATGAGTCATAACAAAAACAGTTCCACGGTGTTTTTATGTCATTGTTGGGTAGTTTCAGATCCATATTTGTGATGGTTCATTATAGACATTGCATTCAACATGATGGAGTCTTCCTGAAGATTGTATGAAAAAGTGTGTAGATTTATGAGGGTCCATGCCATAGAACTACATTTTTGCACCAGATGATGTCTGGCTTCTAGTAGTAGCCTCTAGTTGAAGCAGTTACTCCTAAAACAAGTGTCTAAATTCTGATTAGTAACATTTATTATGAAGTATGTTAAATAACAATACAATAATTCCAGTGAGCACTTTTGCATGAGAAGTCTGTACATAGGCAAAATATAAACTAGTTCTGCTTTCATTTCTTTTTCTTGTTTGCTTCCTATGTAAAGACTTGTCTGCACCTGTTGTTTTGAAAACGCCTAGTGACCATCCTAATAGCTTGTGAACCAGCTCTTACAGGTGGCACTTTAAATAGTCAACTCTGGTTGAGATGACTCATTGCTTGTAGATGGAAATTGTCTGAAATGTGATACTAATTGCTTATATACTCCAAAAAAGCATGTTACATTAAGAGGATTCGTTCTTTACATTCATATTTTTGCAGCATGATGATGCTGAAAATAGATCCATGATAGTTAAAATGTACTAGGCAATAATGCATCCATTTTACTTTTTAATATTGGATTCTGATAGGTGCTACATAAAAAATGTGAAATTGGGAGGATCCTTTATGTTGGATTTTAAAGATCCATGTTTTATCCAGCCTCTTCATCAGCGCAAATCAGCTTTGTTTATCATCCCCTCCTCACCTGTGAGCTGCAGTAAGGAAGGATATGTCTGTGGATTGCTCAGAGACAGTGTATGCTTTGCTGATGTAGACAGATCCTTCCCCTAGTATCTCCAGAGAAACCACTTTAGCTTATGGGAATTAATATGCAGCAGATGTGGAAAAGGATATCAACATGTATGGTGCATTGTGTGTATACAAGTTGGTAGACTAAAATTAGTTGTGATTTTCCACTGGGAGCATGCAACATCAAGAGACTGGGTTCTTTTCCCCAAACATTGCTGAACAAGCAATGAAAAGCCTTTCCAGCATGAATATTAGCACTGCAGAGTGTTTTAACTGGTGAGGATAGGATGTGAGGCCTGAAATGCAGACTAGCTAAGAAGATGATCTTGAACAATTGAATGCCCCATAACCTCAAGCGCTACTTTGATGTTATAAAATTAAGACAGTCACAATCTATTGATTTAAAATTGGGTAGATGAGGTAGATAGGCTGGTCCTTCAGGTTTCTTGGCTTCTTTTGTACTCAAATTGTGAGACGTAAAATTATCTTTGTATCTTAAGAAACAGAGGAGGGTGTTTTATTTTTAAATTATCTTATTCAAATAGAAGACTGTGTGTCAGATTAAAATGTAGGAATGTTTTGATCTCCAGACATGAAGAGAATTACAAAAATATTTAGTAAATATATATGCGAGCAATGTTGGGTTTGCCTGTGCTTGTTTGATAGAAGTTCAGCTAATCATAGATTTTATCCTCTTGCAGAAATGGAGAACTTGTGCCCACTTCCTATAGCTGCTGTACTGTAATTCTTCCTGAATCTAACTAGCATAACTAATAGGGAGGAATGCTGCAGTCACAAACTTATGAGCCTCATAAGTGTTGCTTAACAGTAAAGCTCATCATGGCTTTGGTGGCTAGGATTTCAGGGAATTGTAACATCTGGATGGCCACCCATTCCTAATCCATACACTAGTACCTGCAGCCAGCATGAGAACACAGGTTCCAGATAGTCTTCATCTATGGAAACGTTGAGACTGTTCGATGATTTGGAGACTGTTGCTGTTCCTCACTCAGCCAATCTCACAAGGTTGTTGCTGTGGCAATAAGAAGATCTCCATGTGAATTGCTGAAGAAAAGATGCATTATAATTTTAACAAATTGTGTGTGTGTGTGTGTGTGTGTGTCTTAAAAAAGCACATAAGAATCAGATAATCATGAAGCTGTAAGGATTGGCTATGTTCCTTTTGTGTTGTGGTGCATGATTTTCTTTAGATGTGCTTTTTTCTCTCTCAGGAACTATTTGTTTAAGTTTGACAGTCTTTCAAAATTGTGCAAGTAGAATTTTTTTTAAAAAAAAGAAGAACCAAAATGCTTTGTGAACATGGAATATTAATATTTCATTGTTTTTTTTCTTTAGAAGACAAGATTTTAATCTCTCTCTCCCTTTCTCTCATATAGGAAGAACCAAGGCTGGATGTTCTGATCAACAATGCTGGGATATTCCAGTGTCCTTATATGAAGACAGAGGATGGTTTTGAGATGCAGTTTGGCGTCAATCACTTAGGTCACTTTTTGCTCACAAATCTTCTCCTGGGTCTTCTAAAAAGTTCTGCTCCCAGCAGGATTGTTGTGGTATCCTCCAAGCTTTACAAATATGGAGAAATCAACTTTGATGACTTAAACAGTGAATTAAGTTATAACAAAAGCTTTGCTTATAGTCGAAGTAAACTGGCCAACATATTGTTTAGCAGGGAATTAGCCCGACGCATAGAAAACACAGGTGTCACTGTGAATGTATTACATCCTGGTATGGTCAGAACAAATCTAGGTAGGTATATACATATTCCTTTATTAGCCAAGCCCCTTTTCAGTTTGGTATCTTGGGCATTTTTCAAGTCTCCATCAGAAGGAGCCCAGACCATTGTTTATCTGGCCGCTTCTCCTGACATAGAGGGTATATCTGGGAAATATTTTGGAGACTGCAAGGAGGAGCAATTGTTGCCCAAGGCTACAGATGACTTGATTGCAAGAAAATTGTGGGATATCAGTGAAGTGATGGTGGGATTATTAAAATAACCTAGAAGAAGCACTTTATTGAAACAATGGTCAAAGCTATTTTTGAGGCTTTCGTTATGTTCCTTGCACTTTATCCCCTTGGTTTTTGAGACACTTATTTTGGGATTCAGAGCAGTCCGTGTCGAATCTTGATTCTTTCCATTTTTTTTTAAACAAAAATTTCCATATAAAGAAAATGTAATATTTAATTAAAAGAATTAGAGTATAAGAAAATGTTAATATATTTCAAGAGAGATATATAAATAACTCTTCTGTGAAAATGGAAAAAAGAAAAAAAAGAATGGCTATTTTCAAATTGTGGGCTCAGAGTTCAGTGCTTCATACCTGAATTAGCTGTGCATGGTGCTATATTTGAAATGTGTTGCAGCAATGTTCTATTAAAACAAAAGAAAAGAGACCTATTTTCTATGTCTCATTCAGCGTGGCCTACATTTCTGCTTTAGGTAGGAAGCCTAGTCAAAAAATGTAAAGAGAAAATGTGGCTTGCTATATCCTGTGCCAGCCTTTCTGCTCTGCCATGAAAGCCTTCTAGTGCTCTATAGTTGGACTGTGGTTAATACTACATAATCTGCATAGCATTTCAACTTGTATTTGTCTCCTTAGTTCTTATTCTCAGGCATTTATTTGTCTCGCTGAATTCTTATCCTCTAAAACTTCTAAAGCCATTATAAATAATGAGAGAGGAAAATGGACACCCTCCCCTGGTGCCTTTGCTTATTGGAACACTTGTGGAGATGGTTTCGTTTGTTGTGATCTTTGCTATTGGCCACTGATATGTGCTCTCCAACAAGTTTTAAAATTCTCCTGGATCCACTCTGTTTAAAACTGTTAATGAGAAAGGCCAATCCCAAGTTGTCGAAGACAGTTTCTGCATCTGAAAGATATTACTCCTGCCTTTTTTTTTTTTTTTTTTTTTTTGCTGAGGGTGTATTTTAGTGCATTTGTTATAAATCCTGGGTTGCCCCATTTTTTTTTTCCTCTTGGGAATATAAACCTTTTTGGTCTACCTGTATTATTTCAGAAATACAATTTCTCAAGCATACCATTTTCCCCTTATCTGCAAATGCCAGAATCCAGAAGCAGTCTGGGGCAGAACCCTTTGGGTACACTCCTGAAGCTGGGTTAAGCTAAGCTTGAAGCTTCTTAGGAATACTCCAAGTTTAAATTTACCCAGTCTTTCTACTTATATTTTCTAAGATTGGAGTCTTTATCCAGAATCAGTGAGCTATAAGGTGGCCAATTGCTCTATTGACAAATCTGTTAAGCTATATAAGTAACTTTCACTAAAATCTATGGAAGTTATTTTCCTTTCTTTTTATCTTTTCATTCCCTTAGTTTTCTCCTTTATTTTTTATGTCCTTAAAAAAAGTAGGATATTTATCAGTTGGGTCTAGTACTGTGGTGGCAAACCTATGGCACGTGTGCCACAGATGGCATGCAGAGCTCTCTCTGTGGGCACGTGCACCGTTGCCCCAGTCCTTGGCCTTCAGCTGGGTTTTGTAAAACCTTTTCGCTTTAGGCCTCCGCCGTCGTGTGAAAAAAAAAGGGGTTCAATCAATCAATTTCAACTTCTTGTAGGAAAAAAAAGATCTCACAAAATTGGAATTGATTGATTGTATTTTTTAGTCCCACCCAGTCTGCCATTATCATCGCAGCCATGCCCACCCAATGGGACATGCCCACCCAATTGACCACACCCACTCAATTGGCCACATCTACCCAATGGGCCACACCCACCCTGGCACCCAATGAGTGGGTTTTGGGTTGCAGTTTGGGCACTCGGTCTCTAAAAGGTTCGCCATCACTGGTCTAGTATCTTCAATATAATTTTGAATAATGTGCAGTAATAAAATATAAATGGGACTTTCCCATGAAACTAGACATTAGAGTTTGGTCCAAATGCATTTAATTATCAACTGCATAAATAATTCTGCAGAAACTACCTTTCGTAAACCACAAAGAATGCCTCCCAATGCATAAATGTAAAAGAGGACTGTTAAGCATAGCTGGAGGAAGTGGCCATGGACTGTGGTTGGAACTGGCATATCTCCATTTGGCAGGGCTGTGAAGAACTTCTGCAATGAAACTGAATGCACTCCAAAGATTAAGTCTCAAAAGATGTAGTGCTTTTGAGTATAAGTGATTCCTAGGGCTTTATCATAGTACGAAACCTCTCTCCCGCAGTCTTTGAAGGGAAAATTTGCTTTCTGAATTGGTTTAGAGCAGGGGTCCCCAACCCCCAGTCCGTGGACCAGTACCGGGCCACATCATGCCAGTAACCGGTCTGCACAAACAAGCAAAGCCCCATCCGTGGGATGCAGGCAGCACACAAAACAACACACTCTTCGGTCCATGGAAAAACCTTTCTCTGCGGAACCGGTCCCTGGTGCCCAAAAGGTTGGGGACCTCTGGTTCAGAGGAGCAGAAATGAAATACATTTGCACATACAAAACATATATATATATATATATATACTGTATGTATAATAAGCACCTTATTCAAAATACAGTTAATTATGTTGATTTGCATCAGTTAATCTCTGCCATGCAGAGCAGTTAATATTTCACATAATTCATTTTTGCTTTAATTCATACAATGTACATTTTCGTGAATACAGTTCTATTTGAAATAAAATATATCAACATGACAGCATTCTGTTTCCTCATTTAAAAGAGAAGCTTTGTACCTTTCCAGTCAGCAGCCTTGTGTCTGAGAGACAGGGACAGAATACTACAGTAAAAATGTCATATGAAAAAAGAATGATTTGAGGGATATTTCATACAAGACACAAATGTGGTAATAAAAAGATAGCTGAGGTAATTTTTAAAATTAAAAAAGCTATTGAGATTTTGGGCTATCTAGTTTGAGGGGGGGGGAGTCCCTGAAGGTGTGTATATTTGTGTGTATGCTAAGCTGGCTGAGGAATTCTGGGAGTTGAAGTCCACAAGTCTTAAAGTTGCCAAGGTTGGGGACCTCTGTGCTAGAAAGATCATACAAACATTTACAGCTGTGGGACCGGGGGGGGGGGGGCGAGGGAATTAATCCAAAGATGATTCAGAAGAAACACAGGGAAAGACATCTAGAGCAATGCTGGCTGTGGAATTCTGGGAGTTGAAGTCCACATGCCTTAAAATTGTCAAGGTTGAGAAACACTGATAGAGGCACAGAGTTCTCTGGTTTGGCCTCTGCTTATCTTTCCTTCAGATCCCTCATGTAGAGTTAGGGGGTATGAAAAGGTGTTGAGTTCTTCCAAACAAAACCTGGCTGTGGAAGTGTGCACCAATGAAAGATGTTAGATTGGATGCAAGATGTGAGCACTGTAAAGCATGCATCCACACCAAATAACAGGATTCTTTGCTGTCCCTAGCAATGAAGTGGAAGTTTGATAGTGTAACAAGAAAAAAAAAAACAGATGTCTAACCTTTCATAGTCAGATTCAAGATGGCTGTGGATGCATAGCAACTTGCCAGGACAACTGAAGCTGAGGAGATTGCCGTTGCTAGTTGTGTCATCCTCAAGTTTCTCCCAGAACAACCTATGTTTATCTTTTATATCAAGCAAAGAAAAACACTTCCAGTTTGGAAGAACTAAGACAGCTCTTCGTTGCTTCAGCTATGGGATAGGAATGGGGCCGAAGCAGCATCATGTATCTCTCAAAAACTTAAGTGGGGTGATGGGAAGAATAGGGAAGTTGGTAGTGCCCTGGTGTGCCAGAGAGTTGTAACAGAAGACAAAAGTTTTAAAAGATTTCTCCCAGTGTGAAGGGGGCAGGGGAGGAAAAATATGACTGATATGGGGACAATAAAAAAAGGGGGGAGAGGTTTCCTCTCATTAGAGCCAAAACAAAAAAAATAATCACTTTTTTGGGGACCAAGCCATCAGAATACTATTCTGCTTTTTTTCTGTTATGTACAGTAGTTTTGTTTAAAAAAAAACCAGGAGAAAATATATAAGCAAATACAATGTTCAGATTGTTTTCATTTTCACTTTCTGAGGAGAACAACCCAACTATCAGCTGCTTGGGAGACTTTTTTTTTTTTAATCCCAAGAGATTAGTAACTGAAGCCAGAAAAAGATTTCGGGATGGGGACCGGGTGGAAATCTGCCTAAGATGCTCTTAAGTGCTTCTGTTTCCCTTCTCTCTTTGTCATGGTGACTTCCTTGACATTTTCTCCAGGCTAAAGCTCACATGATACTTCAAGTGATAAGCTTTTACAGACCCTTCAACAAGAAACATAATCAACCTTTTTCTTCCTAAAATCTTCCTGTGACCATTTTTTTTTGTCTGCCAGCTGCTTTCATGTTATAACCTGATTACTTCCTCTGCTCCTTTTTAACTAAGAAAGTCTACCCCACCTAGAACATTTGATCTCTTTTCTAACTGAAAAAGCACATTGAAAGCACATACTGCCAAGACCTTATTCTAGTTACAGTGAAAATAGATACTGTTTTATTCTTTCCTGACCTACTAACTTGCCTCCAGATTTCATTCCATTGTGCTGAGAAAGAGTTTCAGTTTGTTTTCCCATATTAATATGGGATAACAGCTTACTTTTGTAGAACTACAGTATAGAACTGGAAGGGCTTCATAAGCCTTTCAGTAATCCTCTGTTCAGGGCAAAATTAAAACATTTATTTAAGATGATCAAAGGCCTGGAGACTAAAACCTGAAAACAGCTACAGAACTTGGGTTTGGCTAGCCTAAAGAAAAGAAGAAATAGGGGAGACATGATAGCAGTATTTCAGTATTTGAGGGGCTGCCACAAATAAGAAGGTCACATTCACCAAAGCACGAGAGGGAAGGACAAGAAACAATGGTTGGAAACTGAACAAAGAGAAGCAACCTGGAATTAAGGAGAAACTTTCTGACAGTGAGGACAATTAACCAGTGGAACAGCTTGCCTCTAGAAATTGTGGGTGCTCCATCACTGGAGATTTTTAAGAAGAGACTAGACAGTCACTTTGTCTGAGATGGTATAGGTTCTCCTGCTTGAGCAGGGGGCTGGACTAGAAGACCTCCAAGGTCTCTTCCAGCTCTATTCTATTTATTTGCTTATTCTATTTATTTGCTTATGCAGTTTTGATGGGGCCCAATTCCTTGATGAATTTGTGGATGTATTGGCAACAAGAAAATTACAATGCATAAAAAGAGATCTTGACTGGGAGAACAATTCAACCAATTATAAACCAAATATAATTAAACAAGAGCTTCACAACCACTCTTATCACATGGCCTGTGAGAACAATCAGGTGTTTAATGGGTTTATGAATGTCATAAGGGTGGGAGCTGCACAAATCTCTTGGAATATCATTCCAGAGAGCAGGTGCTGCAACAGAATAGGACTGCTTTCTGGTCCTGTACAATAAACCTGTTTAATTGATGGGGACCCAGAACATATTCAGCCTACTTGAGTG